TATTATGTGCACATTCTTAAAAGGATTCAAATGAGCAATTAACAATGATACTAAACCAATAAAACACAATCAGTCTATAAATTTGTTTTTTGTTTGTTTTTTAGCTGCGTTGGGAACAAAACCAGAGTCATGAGACAAAACCAGAGTCATGTGACAGGCAAGCACTATATCACTGTGCCACATTCCCAGCACCCAATTTGTAAAACTCTTATTAAATAGGGCAGCAGTGTTTTGAAAATTTAAGTTCTCCAGGGTAACAGGTTATAATTTTGACTAAAAGTATATAGGTCATGCAAAACATGCCAAAGTAAATACAAATATATTCCAAACAATGAACAATTGTGCATCATGCAAAAACATTCCATTTACTGAATCTCAAAACATCTTGAGTATTTCTGAATCTCAAGGTCAGATCAAAATAGGTATACCCATAACTCCTGCCCAACAGAACCTTCTGAATTAAAACAAAATTTCACCTGCAGATTAATTTTACTACATAAAAATTATCAAAGTTAAAAGACTGAAGGTACTGGGTAGTAGCTGAGTAAATGTTATCCTCATAGTAACTAAGAAATGACCTTGAGTGCTCATTTGATTTTTTAGAAACTACAAAAGAAATCAATAAAACATTGGATAAAAGAGTGCACCTACATTTCAACAATGAAGAGTTAAGTAAGTATTTTTATATAAAACACTTGGCAGAAAAAACTAGATCTATACCTTTGTTTAATTTTTTAATGTGGTGCCAAGGATCAAACACAGTGCCTCACACATGCTAGGCAAGCACACTCTACCACTGAGCCACAACCCCAGCCCCAAAAGCTATATCTATATATATTGACACTTTATTAGAACAAACCAGATATTAAAATTCAAATTTAAATATTTGTTTCTAATATTAGTGAGAACAAATAATATTCATTTATTAAAATGATTATATTTATCTTTCCAGTCTGTTTTACTAAACAAGGGCACTTTAGCCATTATTAGGATGGCATCTAAAATAAAATGTTTGTGGTAATATAGGAAAAACACTTCATATATTGTAACTTATTGATAATCACCACATGGTGTTATGGGATTTCTCTGGATACATTTACATGCCTCTTCAAATACACAGGAGCTCTATTCATATTCTCCTTTTCCAGTTTTCTTTTTTTTTTTAACCTAATTATCTTCACACACACAAAAATGTTCCTGTGGATAGCCTTCACATATATGGCATTTCCTTCACTTTCAGAATGCAGGGCTGGGGTTGTGGCTCAGTGGTACAGCACTTGCCTAGCATATGTGAGGCAATGGGTTCGATCCTCAGCACCACATAAAAATAAATAAAATAAAGGTCCATCAACAACTAAAAAAAAA